AATCTTTCCATCTGCTATTTTGGAGTTGATGTCTTCTTTTCCTTTTTCTTTTTTAAGACAGGGACTAATGTAGCCCAGGCTGGCCTTGAGTTCACTATGTAGCTGAGGCTAACCTTGAACTTCTGATCCTCCCAAATGCTGGGATTACAAGGATGTGCCCCTACTCCTTGTTTATGTGGTACTGGGGATGGAGCCAGGCGAGCACTCTACCAACTGAGCTACATCCCTAGCCCCAGAGGTGATGTCTTATTTTACCACCTTCCCCTCCACATGACCCTCCTTTTGGAATCACCCATCCTTTGGGTGACTGAATGAAGCCTAGTGGTGACAATTTATTTGGAAGAGCGAAAATCTGCTCCATCTTCTCTTAAGGTGGTGAGACAATTATGCCATTGTATCCTCTGCTTTCCTCCTTGGGAGTCAATAGAAATTGAAGGCAGCTGGGGAGTGGCCAGAAGCCACCCAAGCACCCACCCTGGGGCCCCACAGAGGGCGCCACTATGGTGAGCAGATATGTGGTGGAGAGGTGGGAAAGATGGAGTACAGGGTGGAAAGATGGAGCATGGGGTAGAAAGATGGAGTACGGGTTGGAAAGATGGGGAAAAAGCAAAGCAGAGCGGTTTGTGCACTGTGGAGAGAGGTGGAACTAGAGATGCAATGTCAGTGAGGAACAGGTGGATATGAGGAGCCTGTGTAACCACCTGAGGCCATGGTGATGTCCAATCCGGCTGCCACCAAGGGCCATGTCTGGGTCCATGGCCCTACTGCAGCTGGGGTCTGTGTTGTTGTCCATGACTTGAGTTACCACCAAAGGCCATGCAGATGTCTATGGTCTGGGCTGAGACCATGTGGATGTCTGAGGGCTGTGTTGCTGCCGGGGGGACCATACTGACTTGAGTGACTGGCTCTGCCACCAGAGGCCATGGTGGCATCCAGGCCCATGCTGCCACTGGGGCCCATATCTAGGTCCATGGTCCTATTGTAGTCAGGGTCTATGTTGATGTTTTGAGGCTCATATTTTCACCAAAAGCCATGTGTATTTCTGTGGTCTGGGCTGCCACCTAAGGCCATGTTGATGTCCAAGCACTGTGCTGAGCTACCCCCAACTCTGGCCACCACACTCAGGAGAGCTGGCCCCACCCCTCATGGCATGGGTTTGGGAAAACTGACCTTTCCTTCACCAGCAGCTGCACAGGGGCATAGGCAGTAGCATGGGCACAGGTGAGCTGGCCCCACCCTTGTTGGAGTGGTGCAGGAGAGGGGGCCCCATGGCATGGGTGTGGGAGTACTGGCCCTGATGGTGCAGGAAAACTGGCCCTGCACTTCACCAGCTGCTGCATGGAGTGAGGGGAGGTCCTGTGGAGACCCAAGTTGACCAACTCCCCTACCACCCAGGCCCAGATCCAGGGCCTTGAGTTGATCCACCCCAACACCTACCCTGTCTATGAGCTGCTGGAGCATGTGAAGGGGCGGGTCCTGCAGAACCACAGCCATGGGATCTCCATGACTCGGGGTAATAGCAGGATTTCTGAGAAGGGTCTTGATGAGGGTCCAGTATTGATGGTACAGCAGAAGCCAGAGGCTCTGAACCAGACCAAAGACTCTTTGCAATGAAAACTGTCTCGGCAAAGGGTGTACTGTGTGACATGTTGTAGCACCCAGTGCCACTCTAACCAGTTAATATGTGATGGAGAGGCAGGACAAACAGAGGAGTGGATGGGTACAGTGCAGTGACGCCATGACTGGTGTGAGAGAAGGCTGTGATTGATAGAGGAGCAGGTTTTTTCCAAAGGGGTCGGCAAAATGTACTATTTTTTAATCTTAATTTTGATTTTTTAAATTTTCTTTTGAAGAGGAGGTTACAAGGTTAGAAGGCAGATGGGGAAGGACTGAGAAATGAGTAGGATTAGGTACATGATGAGAAATTCCCAAAGAATCAATTAAAAAATTATGTTAAAAAAAAAAAAAAGAAATTGCCCAGTGGTGGTGGCACGTGCCTGTAATCCCAGCACTCAGGAGGCAGTGGCAGGTGGATCTCTGTGAGTTAGAGGCCATTCTGGTTTACAAAACAAGTTCTAGGACAGCCAGAGCTGTTATACAGAGAAACCCTGTCTCGAAAAAAAAAAAACAAAAAACAAAAAACAAAAACAACAACAACAAAAGGCCAACTGTGGTTAAGGTCTTGGGGGAGAGGACAGGAGGTGTGTTTAGAGTCCATGCTGCCTAGTCCAGCTTCATAGATGAGAACAAGTCTCCAAGTGGGAACAAGAATGGGAATGGAGAATGTACTGAGCATTCGTTCTCAGCAGGGCAAGGCTGCAGATGCTGCATGGGGATACATATTTCCCCAGCGTCTGTCAAGACCCAGGCAACACGGAACAGTTATGAGATGGAGTGAATCTGCAGCCATCAGCTTGCTCATCCATCTAATTCTTTTTGTTTTCAAGAGAAACTGAGAACCATAGACGTGTGACCTACCTCTCTATCATAGAGCAAAGTGGTTAGGGATCGGTGTCCTGGCCTGATGTATGGTGATTGTTCCAATTCTAAAGCCAGAGCTAAGACAGCTTCTTTCCTCTGTGAGCGAGTAGATTACCACAACACTACAGTCTGGATGAAGACACCTGAGCACCACCTCCTCCCGAGGACACCCACGATCCTTAGTTGGAGGGGAAGCTCAAGGTCGCAGCCCTCTTCATTCAAGGTGAAGAAAAGTGGGTGCAGGGGGCAGAGGATGGGGAGAGGACAACATTGTCCCAACATGCCCAAGTTCCCAGAATGCTGAGGGCAGAGGGCACTGAGGAGGGCTCCCACTCCCATCAGGGGTGGATATGCCAGGGCACTGTCTGCACATCCTGGGGCCTTAGGCTCCTGCTCACAGGGACAGCTGGGTGTGATTACGAGAAGCCGGGAACAGAGACTGTGGCCATATGATCCGGGTCTGGGATGCTCAGGCAAAAACTGTTTACCCACCCTTTTTAAGACTTAACTAGAAGCCAGTTTCATGCTTGCATTTCAAACATAGCATTAGCATTTATATTTAAGCTACTGCATTTAAACCAGCTAGTTTTATACCAAGACCTTTAGGCTTTCTATGCTTGTAAAAAAAAAAATGGGATAAAAATGGGACTGGAGAGATGGCTCAGCAGTTGAGAATATTGGCTGCTCTTCCAGAGACCAGGGTTCAGTTCCCAGCACCCATATGGTAGCTCACAACCAGTTCCTTGGGGGATCTGGTGCCTTCTTCTGACCTCCACCAGCCCTAGACATTGGTGTACACGCATACATGTTAGCAAATGCTTATATGAATAAAATAAAATAAGTCTAAATAAATAAAAACTAAAATAAAAATGATGGGATAAAGAGTAAAGAAAATGCATTTAATTATAAAGTGGTGGGACTTTCTTTCTTTCATTTCTTTTTTTTTTTTTCCTTCAAAGTGCCTACACCCTAGAATGCGGCCTGCCCTTTTCAAGACCACAGAACTCTCTTCTGTGAGGGTTTCTGAAGCCCATCACTATTTGGGATATCAAGATGGTTCCTGAGTATTCTCCTGTAGGTTTCTTACTGTACTCACATTGCCAGAAAGGCCTTTAGTGGCAGAAGCCAGCTTCCCACGTCCTTTGGGTTCCTCATAGCCACAGCTAATCGCTAAGCTCACTGTAGTGAGTCACTTCTGAGCATTGCTGTTCAGCACCTTGGACAGCGTCGTTCCCTTCGTCTCCCCCCTGTTCCTAGGCCATTCTGTTTCCTGTCTCTTGATTCTTTTTTTTTTTGAAGACAGAGTCTTTCTAAGCAGCTTAGATAATTGCAATCCTCCTGCCTCAGCCTCCCAGGTGCTGTGATTACAGGCATGTTACAACACACCCAGCTTCTTTTCTGACTTTCTTAAAGATGATTCTAGGAGGCAGAAGCCAGGCTATGCTGGGTGAAGTGGCCTGGAATGGAAACAACAATACAGCACCTTCCGATGTGCTCAGGATGAAAGGCCATCCAAGTCATGTACCTAACAGAGTCACAATCCCCAGAGAGCTGTTGGCCCCCTTCTCAATAGTACTGACTCTGGTCTGTAACCATGAAGTTATAGGCCAGCAGCACACTTGACCATATGTTGCAGTGGTAGAGCAAGGGGATAGGCTGGGGTGAGCTAGGCAGTCCCTGGTGTGGGATGATTCATGGATAAAGGCCATGTGGGGAGAAGGCCAAGGCTGAGGACAACCATCAGTTGTGGAAGTCAAGACCTTTAGTACACAGAGATCTATTTGTGGGATAATGGTAGGGGTATCAGCTGAGACCTTAGGGACTATTCAGAGAAGATGCAACGTGGGTGCAAAGAAAACACACAGATGGGGTGAAGTGATGGGCTCTGAACAAAAGCTGTGGATCACAACATGAAGCTAACCCTTGTTTGATGGGATTTTTGGGGAGGAGAGATGGGCATCACTTTAGGTTGTGGTGCCAGTGGGATATAGCATGTGGCAGGGACAAGACCTAATTTTCAGCCAGCAACAATCACTTTAAAGGTCGGGCAGTGCTGGTCCAGAGCTGGAATTAGTATATTGGCACTGCCCAGTAATTTCAGAAACCTAGTGAGTTGGCTACTCTGTCTTTGCCATGGCTATTACTCAACAACCGAGACAGAGCAATGATCACTCATAAGGCCCACAATGATGCTACTACATCCGGGCCTCTTCTTCTCCTTTTGCATATTCCAGCTTCAGGACCACCTAGAAATCCTTCTAGACCAGTGTCTCCACATACCACTATTGAACCTTTGCTGGATGAATGGGTGCATTCTCTCTCTCTCTCTCTCTCTCTCTCTCTCTCTCTCTCTCTCTCTCTCTCTCTCTCTTCTCACTCTCCTTAGGTTAGGTTGCCTGGGAAACAGACTGAAGTGAAAATCTACAAGCAGCAAATTTATGGAGGTTGCTTTTGGCACCAACTCGAGAGGGTGGGGCCCAGGAGAAGAGTGAGGATGTGGGATGAGGCAGACAGAGCGGTTGAACTGCACGAAGCTTCAGTGAGGGACTCAGCTTCTCCTGAATGGAGCAACGCTGTGACGACTCTCCAGTTGTCCTCTGAGGCAAAGGGATGAATGGCAAATGTCCTTTCTGGAGTAGGTGGGTGGTTTGGGGATGGAGGATGACTGACGAACTAAGCCAATCCCTGGGAACACACCTAGCTGAGAGTCTTCATCTGCCACCTCTCTCAGAAGTGGCTGAAGTAAGAACCTGAAGGAGGTGTCTAGATCCTGAAGGAGGCACCAGGATGACATTCAACTGCACCTCTGAGGTACCAACAGACTTGAGTGATGTCAGTGGAGGGCACACATCAGAATGCCTGATGGGAACATAGTTTATAACGTTGTCTATGGGGCTGGAGAGGTGACTCAGTGGTGAAGAACACACACGGAACCTTTGGTTCCTGGCACTGATGCCAAGTGGTTAACAACTGCCTGTAACTCCAGCTTCATGGGATCCAATGCCCTCTTCTGGCCTCCAGGAACCCCTATACTCATGTGTGCATTCATACACACACACACACACACACACACACACACACACACACACACACACACACCCATACACCTAAAAATAAAACAAATATTTTTTAAATGAGGGGTCATCACTGACCTACCCAAGCCAAAGGAGGTGACTGTCCCAAGGATAGAGCAGGCAAGTAGCTAGTAAGACTGGAGCCCACAGTGAGTGGGAGACTTGTGTCCTAGAGGATCATCAAAGAGCCACCCACTCCTTGCCTGCTTGCTTGCCTCTGGAACCAACAATGAACCTAGCCTGCACCTGGTCTAGAGATAGCACGCACATGCTGGGGAGAGGGGATCCGGGGTAATCTACGCAGAGCTGAACTGGCTTTTGGAAGCATCTACCTTTTATAGACTCAGCCTTTGCGCTCCTATGCAGCCATGACTTATCCATTGAGCAAATCTCTGAGTCTTAATTAACCCTTCATTAACCTTCCACTGGTACCTCTTGGCCAAGCAGAGAATGGAGGCCAGTGAGTTGGAAATGACAGCCTGTCCTCCCCCGGGCTCTGTCCGACCTGGCAGGCCACCTGAGCTGGTAATTACCTGGGCCAAGGCTGGGAACTCTTACAGGCTGATGAACAAATAATCTTTCACTAATAGCAGCCTTGGCCACGGAGCCAGCTCTCCTAGTCTCTTTCTTGATTATCTTCTGTGAAGCCAGGGGCAGGACGCAATAATATTGCTAAAATTTCTCTCTCTGTCTCCTTCTCTTTGCTTTTAATAAAAAGGAGGCCATGTGGGCTGTGGCTCAGGAGAAGCAGCAGGCAGAGTGTTCATGGTGTGTGTAGGGGGGTTAGTGTTCACCAGAGAAGCTTCTCTCCCCCTCCAGGAAAAACCAGATGCTCTGACCGAATCCTGCAGAGGACCTAAGGAAACAGTGGATATTTCTGGAATGTGCTCCTTAGTGGATGTCAAAGCAATTTGGAGGTCTGGCTATTGGCCTACATCACAAGGAGGAGGTGGAGAGGTGTCAGCTGTCTCTGGCCCCCAGGACTCTCACAGAACTGAGAGAGGAGCAACAGGGAAGAAGGAATTAACAACAATGGAATAAAGAAAGGCAGGGAAGAGAGGGTAGAAAGATGCAAGGAAGGAAGCTAGGATTAGGAACGAGAATGCAGGGGTGAGGGTCACAGAAAGGAAGTCTCAAGGGTGGCTAGGGGTCCTGTCACTATGTCTCAAAGTGGCTCATGTCTTCCCTCTGGGGTATCCCCCACCCAACCTGGAAACAGGGCAGATTAGCTGTTACCTGCAAAGAGTGTCACAGGAGGCAGGTATGCTCTTCAAGTTGTTCAGACAAGAGGCTGAGAGACTCACCCACAGATCACCTGCTAGGACCTCAGTCCTCTCAGTTACAAAATGGGTGTGAGAGCATCTGGCTCATTTCATGGCACAGATGCAGGCATTAGGGTGATCGTGTTTGTGATGGTCCTCAACAAGCTGCAGAGTGCTCTTCCAACCTCCCACTGAGCCTCCTCCCCGTCTTTATTCCTTTGTCTCCACTCTACCCTACCCACTCCCCAGGGCACTCACTCTACTAGTCAGCTTTCCCTCTTATTCCAATCCAGCTCATTCTTGCCTGAGATCATCGTTTCAAAAGCACAGGGAGGCCACAGCACCCTTTCCATGGCTCTTGAGCTCAGCCTCATATGCGTGCTTCCCTGACCTTGCTCCCCTTCTCCTGGCCTCATTTCTCATCTGTGAAACTGTCTCCTGGCAGAGGCCTGATGTCACACAGCTAGCTGTCAACAGATGTGACAGAGTGAGCCACTGGCTCTGTGGGAACTGGCCCTTCTGTGTTGGAATGTCACCTGAGGGCTCAAGGGTAAGAATCTAGGTATGAAAAGCCCACAGATCTTAAAGGAAATTACTAGATCATCTGGATAGCAGACATCCTTGGCTCCTCCCTGGCTCTGACCCACCACATTTACATCTGGTCTGTGAGTCATGAAAGACTGGATGTGGATTGAAGAAATAGAGGAGGGTGGATTTTGTGACTTAGCTAATCTTAATAAGGGTTAGGCTGGCCTGTTCCTCTTTCCCTTCCCAAGCAAGGTCAAGGTGCCCTGCTGGCCTAGTGCCACCATGAAACTGGAATATGACAATGACCTGGGATTCTCAGATCCGAGAGAGCAAAGAGACTGGGATCTAGCTGTTGCTAGAAAAAGTCAAAAGCCAAGGCCACCTGCGGAGGTTGGTGTCTGCAGCTTCAAGGACAGTAAGCGCAGGGACAGGTGTCCTGAGTAGATTGTAGAGGAAACAATGCCATGCTACCTAGGACAGGCTCATACAAGGAAAACTTGGAAGGTGTGAGCTATGTTGGGGATCCAAACAAGGCCAGAGGACTTCCCCAGCCATGGAAGCCTTGGCAGAAGGTTATGGGGTGAGAGTGGAGGATGTGGAGGCAGGAAGCAGGCTTCCAGGGGCTAAGATGACAGGGCAGTATGCCGCCCAAGGTCCCCAGCTGGTTATCATATTATTCTTTTTGTCTTTCCCAGAGGATGTTTTATCCCCAGATACCCCCCTGGGGGTGCTCTAGACTAGACCACTTCACCTATTCTCTTCATCCTGCCTTGGTCCTCTCTGCTCACAGTCCTACGTTCCGGAGCACCCCTTCCCCATATCTATACTCCACCCCAACACCCACTTCTTCAAGACCGACCTACTCCCACTGACTCAGTGACACCCACCTGCCCTAGCCAGTTTCTACTTTAAAAAAAAAGTACTTCTTTGTCTTTGAAGGGTGAGGGACACTGAGAATAAAGACTGATTCTTACAGCCTCTTGTTGCTAGGGATGGCAAATGAGGCATAAATAGCAACATTTGGAGCCAGCCTCCAATCTGCTCCCCTGAAAGACTCCTCATATATGTCCCTTTTCCTTTTGCATGATCGGAATCAGATGTGATGGCGGGAGGTCTAGTAGCCATTTTGGACTGTGAGGTGACCACGGGGTGGAAGCTGTGTGTAAGGGTGATGGGGCGGGAGGGGAGACGGGGTGGGTGATCTTGATTGTCAACTTGATGGGGGTACAAATCCTCTAGGAGACAGACCTTGGTTGTGTGGGCTTTTCCAGAAAGGTTTAATTGAGGAGGAAAGACCTACCACAGATGTGGGCGGCGCCATCCCTTGGGCTGGAGGCCTGGATGGAGTAAACACGGGAAAGCATGCCGAGCACCAGCGTCCATCTTTCTGCTTCCTGACTGTGGACACGAAGTGGCCAGCTGCCCCCTGCTCCTGTCACCACTCTCATCTCGATGGACTTAATCACCAAACGCAAAATAAACCCATCTTCCTTAAAGTGTCCGTGTGGCTTGAGTGAGAACGGCCCCCCTAGGTTCGTAGATTTGAATGTTCCGTCTCTAGAGGAGTGGTGCTGTTAGGAGGCGTGGCCTTGTTGGAGAAAGTGTGTCACTGGGGGGTGGACTGTTTTCAAACCCCCCCCTCTCTCTCCCTCTCTCTCTCTCTCTCTCTCTTCCTGCTGCCTGACAATCCAGATGTAGAACTCCAGGCTCCTTCTCCAGCACCGTGTCTGCCTGCATGCCGCCATGCCTCACACCATGATGATAATGGACTAAATCTCTGAACTGTAAGTCGCCCCAATTAAATGTTTTCCTCTGTAAGATTTGTCGTGGTCATGGTGTGTCTTCATAGCAATAGAAACCTTAATTAAGACAGTGGCTTTGTGGGGGGGAAAAAGGAACTAATACAGAATATCTTGAGATTGTGACACTGTGGGATACCTTAGGGGTATCCCTAGTACCACCACTTTAAATGAGATGGAAATGTATATGCGTCTTGTTTGGCTCTCCGTCCCTTCGAGTTGCTAAGGAACACACTGCCTGCTCACTCCCAAGCTGCTGCAGGTGGTGCCGGCCGAGTGCCTGTGTGAGCATCTTTGCTTTATTAACAGCTTTCTATTATCATCAGCTCTTCAGAACCAGGCGAAACCCAAGCTCAGTTAGAGAGTGCCTTCCCAAGTCCTTTTACTCCCAAGTTATTTAATCCTGCAAAGAACACATCATTGTCCCCACTTGACAGTGGTGGCTCTGTAGGTTCCCCCCAGGGACTGAAGAGAGCTTGCTACTCTTGAACTTCAAGTCCACCTGCCTCTACCTCCCAAGTTTTGAATTACTGGTGTGCACCACCACATCCGTAGGCTTGAAGGTTCTAGATGGTTCTGTAAGAAGAGAAAAGGGAAGCGCATTTGGTTGCTTTTGTGTTGCTGTGATAAAACACTGCTGTGACCTGGACAGCTTTGGACTTGACCTGAAAAGGGCAGTGGGGATGAATAAATGACAGACACAAGTGACACTGAGTAGGTCATATGCTCAGAGGAATACAGACCAGCGACAGCCCTGAAACTCAGCATGCAGGAGGAGGCTGGCTAGCTCATCTCAATACAGGGGTCTCTGTAGGCGAGCAGGCATAGGCTGCAGGCATCCAGGATGAGGAAGCTGTGGTCGGTACAGTACTTTATAGTACTTTCTGCACATACTGGCTTTAGTCAACTGCTCATCAATACCCATACTCAGACCGCAAGGCTTTGCCATTCCCTTGAGCCTGATCCAGGGAAAGTCTTGCCATCCCTATGTGTCTGACACATTGCTGTCCTTGACATAACTATGCTCATGTCAGCGGTACACATTCACTCAGGACTTCATCTGCTTCCCACAAAACACCATGACTCAAAGCAATTTACAGAAGGCAGCACTTATTTGGCCTTACCATTTCAGAGGATCAGAGTCCATCATGGCAGGAAGGTGTGGTAGTTTGAATGTAATTGGCCCCCATAAACTCATAGGGAGTGGCACTATTAGGAGGTGTGGCCTTGTTGGAAGAAGTGTGGTCTTGTTGGAGGAGGCTGGGTAACATATGCCTTTAATCCAGACCTTGAGGCTGGAGGGCACACCTTTAATCTGGGCCACACCTTCTGTTGGAAGTTGGTCACTGTGGTCTTTTTCTCAAGCTTAACTCAGTGTGACAGTCACTTGATTTCCTGTTGCCTCTGAGTCAAGATGTAGCACTCTCAGCTCCAGCACCACATCTGCCTGCACACCTCCATGCTCTCTTTCGTGATCATAATGGACTGAACCTCTGAAACTGTAAGTGAGCCACCCTCAATCAAATGTTTTCTTTCTAAGAGTTGCTGTGGTCATGGCGTCTCTTCACAGCAATCGTAAACCCTAACTAAGACGGAAGGCATGGCAGCAGGAAGGCATGGTGGAATAAAAATCTGATAGTTCCCATCTTCAACTGCAAGCAGGATGCAGAAAGAGCAAACCAAAGTAAGATGAGGCTATATATACTCAAAGCCCGTCCCCCAGTGATGCATTTCCTCTAACAAGGCTCTGCCTCCTAAGGCTTCACAACCTCCCCAAAATACCACCACCAACTAAGAACCAAGTGTCCAAATACAGGCGCCTGTGGGGGATAATTCTCATTTAAACTACCAAAGGAAGAATCAGGGGAGGGGAGGGAGGGGACAGGGAGGCAAGCTGTGTATGTAATAGTGACCAGCAGTATCCTGTCTACTGTGTGGGCTTTATCACTCCCAGGTCTTTCTGAGTCACTGGTCAAACATTCAAGCTCAACTGCATTAAAAATTCATTGACATTTTTTTCTTGTTAAAAAAAAAGAATAAACAAATAAGCACACAGCAGCAGCTGAGAGGAAATGGAAGTGTAAAGCCTCCCACCCCAACAGTCTGAAATCACTGCAGCCCCCACCCCACACCTTTCCAGTTCCCAAACTCTGCACTTTCCAAGGAAAGCCACCCAGTGTGCCACCTTCAACAGCCCTGATGAGTTGTCCACCCCCTGACACAGCATCCCTCAATTACTAGGGAACAGGCCTCAAAGTCATACAGACTTCAAGCTGTGCGTCCTCAGAATATCAGATACTTCCATCTCTCTGAGCCTCTGTTTCCTTGTCTGGACAATGAGAACACCAATGCTGACCTTGTAACACAAGGGGCCCCACTCTGTAATGTGTGGACTCTGAAAGGTGTGTGCCTGGAGCTATTTCATTGACTGGCAGGGCCTCCTTCCCTCTCCCATATCCCCTCCTCTCCTTCCCCTTCTCCCCCTCCTCTCCTCTCTTTTCCTCCTCTCTCCCCTCTCCCTCCTCACTCTTTCTTTGATTCTGCCCCTTAATCTCTCCTTAGATACTTAGTAAACCCCAGCCCCAGAAACAGGCCAGCCAGAAGGACATGTCCATGCTGTAACCCCAGTCCTTGGAGGCTGAGGCAGGAAGATGAGGCATTCCAGACCAGCCTGGGTTACACAGAAAGACCCTGCTTCGAACAACAGCAGCAGAAAGAAATCAGCTCGACCACTCCTCTGGCTCTGCTGGCTCTTTCTGTTAATGAACTTGGATTTGGCACCAATCCTCTTGCTCTGGCCTGGGGTCCCTGTCTGTCCCCCACCCCCAATCTCTCAGCAGCTTTTGACTCTGGCACACTGTCAATCCAACCAATAGGTGCAAGTTCACCTTCTTTTTGGTACATGTTGAGAAAGTTAGGGCAGCTTGGAAAACAGGCCCCAGGTCTTCCTCAGTCTCCTGGCTCTGGGCCAGGCACACAGAAGGCCCATCACTGAGCCCCAGCTCCAGGCTGACAGGGAGAGGGGATGATAAGGAGGTGGACAGGCTATAGCTGCTGAATCATCACCGCTGGGAACCTGTGCAACTTCAGAAATGCAACAGGCACTGACTATCCACTCAGGTGGAAGCTGCCTGCTGTAAGAAACAACACGGATCTGTAGTGGAGAGGCGCTGCTGGGAAGTTTGGCTTCACCTCCAGCTATGAGCTAATGCCAGCAGGGAACTTCACCTCTGTTAGCCATAATTTCCTCTTCTGTAATGCAGGGCATGTCCATATGAAATACCAGTCCCTATATAATAGGAAGCGATAATTGCAAAGTACAGACAAGAACATAGCAAACTGCAGTCCTCATATCCTTCTGGTGAGAGGCCAGGGAGGCTGCCACTATGGAAAACTGAAAACTTTTTACATGGCATTAAAAATGACCAAAATAATCCATTCCTGGGTCTATAAGTATGAGAAGGGAACATCTATACTCACTATAAAGCTCACATGTCAATGAACACAGTACAATTATTTAAAATTGACAATCTAAACATTCACTCTCTTGTGAATATATAAAGTATTGCATATTCAAAAAATATTACTTGGCCATAAAAAGTACTGAAGTACTAAAAAAATAGAGATGGGGTCAAAGTCCTGATATTACAAGGGTAAACTTAGAAAATATTAGATTTAGGGAAAGATCCAAACACAAAAACACATAATTTAGAAATCCATTTGTATTCAGTGTCCAGAATAAGAAAAGGCGTGAAGAGAGGGAGTATATTAGATTAGTGGTTGTCTGAAGTTGGGAAGGTGATTGAAGTGTGTGTGTGTGTGTGTGTGTGTGTGTGTGTGTGTGTGTGTGTGTGTGTTATGCATGTGTGTGCATATGTGTATGAGTGTGCTCACTTGTGTGGGCTTGAATATGGAGATTTCCTTCCATATTCCTGATGTATGCCCTCCATTGCCATTCAGTAGAGCTTTGGATCCAGTTACAGAGCTGAGGTTCCAGGATGCTCCCATTTCAATGACCAACAGGGCCATGAGGGCATGACCCATTCATTGTCTGTCCAGCCATGGGCATGGTCATAGCAGCTGCAGAATCTAGGTCCCTTCTCTGTAGCAGAGAATCTAGCCAGGAGGATGGAGAGAACACACCCAAACAACTCAATCTAACACTGTGTCCCCGGGTATGATTTTTTTTTTTTTGCCTCCCAGGGGACATTTAGCAATGACTGGAGACATTTTTAGTAGTCGTACCTGGGCTGGGCACTTAGGAGGTAGAGGCGAGGGATGCCCTTCAATCCTCTATATGGCCAAGCAGCCTCCCCCACACAGCACGGCTCAGCTCAAAATGATTGTGTGAGACTGAGAAAGTCCCTTCTCAAGGACTGTGCTGAAGAGCTCTTGGAGATGTCCCAGCAGTGTGGTAGCCAAAGCAAGGAAGAAGGACCCCAGCCGAGTGGAGTGCTGTTGGATTAGGACCCTCAGTGGATGAGGGTGAGTCAGGATGACATACAGAAGTCCCAAATAGCAAGGTGTGACAGTTCGGGGCAGAGCTTGAGAAGCTGCTACCAGACATGAATGGGGTGGCTGTAATGCCTGGCACTGGTTCCTTTCACACAGTGGACACACCCACTGCCATCTTAGTTGTGAGTCATTAGTCTGTTGTCACCCAGATGAGCTGAGCAGTTGACTCTGGTCCCACTTGAATCATTCTGACTTCAAACTGCTGGTCTCTGAAAGCAGCGGGTCTCATCTTGAGGTGGGGACAGAATTAAGCGTCCATTTCGCCATTTTGTGGTGGTGACGGGGAACCGCCCAGGTCAGCAGCCTTGGAAACAGCAGGACCTTGAAAATCTGAAGAGGTCTCCTGGGAGGCTGAGGCACGAGGTGGGAGGCTCCTGCTCAGGCTGCAAACCAAGCATCTTCAAGGTGGCAGAAAAGGACAACAGATTTTTAAGGAGGCCCATGCTTCTCAAAGTTGCAGGGATGTAAAAACATACTGAATAGTAATTCT